GAATAAAACTGTCGATTAAAAGCATTCTGGTGAAATCATGCAAAGTTCATTCAGTTAGGAAAGGAAAACAAGTCTTTGTAAAATAGCTTCACAATTTTATTCCTTTGTAACACATAACAGTTTTTCTCTTAGAGAGATCTCGGACCGGAATACATTATTTAAGGCTGGGTCGGGTCAGGAAAAGATATTTGATAAAGAGACAAAGTTATGAAATGTTGGTGAGTGGATAAACTTAAAACCACCATATCTGATTGGTTTTAAAGTGTATTTTGTGCATTTAAAAAAAAACCTCCCTATTAATTGTTCTTTCCATGTCTTTGAATATACACACATTATCAGATACATGTTTTAAAGTACTTTAACAGCATTTTTTTCCCCAGGAGAAAGGAGATTAACCAATGCTCTTATTTTATTAAGACATCCAATTTTATCAGACCTCTGTATAATAAGCTGTAAATAAAAATGTATTTCACTTAACATTGATTCGCCTCCTCTCTTTTATACGAAGCTTTTTATTGGCAAGGGATAGGTGTATTTCATAGTAATGCTCTAAAATATATTAGAATATTAAGATTAATTCCTGATTGAAATGATTTTCCACAAATAGTCAAATGTGCCCTCTGTTTATTTAGAAAAACCAACAGTGACATACAACGATGACAATCCAGAAGGCCACAAGTGGAGCACCCATTAGCTGGGTAAGAAAAGGCTAAACGGCATGGCTGTGATCCAGAAATAAAACCCACCACCACACACAAAACATATGCCCAAGGGCATTCATATACCCTCTTATAAAAAGTCCTCTTTGAATAGCAGACCACCATACTAGATGAGAAATGGTTTTTGAAATTCTATTTCAAAAGTGTTTGCCATTTTGCACGAGATGGGAGGCTACTCTTAAACTGACAAGCTGGATTCTTTGAGAGTTCTTATAATGAGACTACCTTTCCTACATGAAGAAACCTGAAAAAAAAATAACGAAGGGGTTTCTGAATTGCATTAAAATTCAACTTTCATCAGCCTAAAGACTTGATTCTGTGTTGGTTTATTCAGAAATAAGTCCTGCAGTGAATTGCTCTTCTACTGAATGTACTTTAAAATAGTACTGTATTTTCCAGACTGTAAGATGCACCAGAATATAAGATGCACCAGAATATAAGATGCACCAGAATATAAGATGCACCAAGATTTTGAAGAGGTAAATTTTAAAAAAAAGGTTTTGCCCTCCCCGGCTCCCAGAGCACCCTGCAGGCTTCCCTAAGCCTCTGCACACCCCGTTTTTTGTGAAAAATAGTTTGGGAGGCCTGCAAAGTACTCCTGGGGGCAGAGGAGGGCAAAAACGAGCAAAAAATGGGCCTGTTTTTTTGCAAAAGAACAGGGCATGCAGAGGGTTTGGGAGGCCTATAGCGTGCTGCTGGGGGCTTGGGAGGGCAAAAACCGACCCGTTTTCATTCATTTTTGCCCTCCCCAGCCCCCAGGAGCACTTTGCAGGCCTCCCAAACCCTCTGCATGTCCATTTTTGCGCAAAATGGATGCGTGGGGCGGGGTTTCAGGCGGCCAAAAATACTGTATTCAGTGTATAAGACGCACCCAGTTTATCACCCTGTTTTTTGGGGGGGGTATTATACTCTGAAAAATAAGATATATTGTCATGGTATATTTGACTGTTAATACCCCTACCTTCAGGAATTATGCAATAATATTCCACTGCAACAAATAGCAATAGCAATAGCAGTTAGACTTATATACCGCTTCATAGGGCTTTCAGCCCTCTCTAAGCGGTTTACAGAGTCAGCATATTGCCCCCAACAACAATCCGGGTTCTCATTTTACCCACCTCGGAAGGATGGAAGGCTGAGTCAACCCTGAGCCGGTGAGATTTGAACAGCCGAACTGCAGAACTGCAGTCAGCTGAAGTAGCCTGCAGTGCTGCATTTAACCACTGCGCCACCTCGGCTCTCAAAGATCTTAAATAGAAAGCCCTTTCCTAATTTATCCTTGTTACCAAGGTTTTCCTGCTTCTGTTCCCTTATTTCTATTCCAAGAACTACCCAAGTTCTTAACTTCCCACTTTTTGCCTACATTTAGTTGGCAACCCACCCGGTTTCTTTGTCACAGGAATGCCCTCCGAGATTGCTAAGCGGCAGTTTTACCGGTGATAGGCAGAATTCAAGGGTCTGCTTTCATGTGGAAGTATGGGGAGGAAAAAGAACTGAGGGCGAAGGGTAATCGACCCGACAGTAGGGTGGAAAATTTAATCATGTAACAGCTGCATATTCCCAACCTGAAGTCTTCCACAGAGGTTACAATACCCAGGGCTGCCGGAAAGGCTATCTTGCCCTTTTGATTCTTTTCCAAGAGGTAATGGGAAACAGCTTCTAGCATAATTTCTCATTCAACTGCTACAGGAACTTGACATATCTAAGGCTCAAACTATTTGGATCCAGTTTACCTTGAAGGTGGGGGGTGAAAGATAGGGGGCGGGAGGGAATACAGCATAGTAGCTCCAACTCATATAGCATTTGCAGCACAACCAAGTCCCAAAGGTGCTTTTTTTCAAGAGGCAACTGGACTTTCTTGTTTTTTCTTTGCAGACGCTTCACTTCTCATCCAAGAAGCTTCTTCAGCTCTGACTGGATGGTGGGGAATGAAAACTATGACCTGGATGACTGAGACTCTCCAAATACAATTAAGAGACAGACATTTCAACGTGGGAATGCTGACCTCAGCCATGAGTAGAGTGTCAAGCCCAGGTCGTCCACACCATTAAGCCCACTTAAAGTGATCCCATGACATTTCAGCATTTCCCTTTATTTGGCCAGGATTGGGGTGCGCCTTCAGAACCTAGTGGTGCCAAACCAAAACTTCCTGGTCTAGATAACATTGTATAAAATAGTTTCATGACAACCTTCAGAAAGGAAGATCCACAATGACCAGGAATGCAGTTATAATGTGGCAAGACCTGAGACTGTATGCTAAGAATCGGTTTTCAGCTTTACTGCAACTTTTTTCTTTTGGCCAAAAGTCATATAATTCATCAAAGGATGCTGGTGAAACATCTAATATACAATCTTCTCAAAATGGTTAAGAACTATGGTCTCCCCCAAAGCTTGACGTCAAGCCAAAAGCCACATTGTGAAAAAAATGTCTCTTATAGACTCATGCACTTTAACAGGCTAGGAATGTATCTTAGTATCATTTTAACTACGTAACAATTGAGGAATTAATCAAGCAGTATACAATACAATTCCAGAGACATCTTCAAAGGACATTCTGTCAGTGTATTTGACAAAAGTATTAAGGCTGTATCTTTGTTTAAAGGTACATTTGAAATATGAGGTTAAATTCAAAATAAGCCAATGCAGATACCCAGAAACGAAGAATTATTTCAATTTTTTTTAAAAAATGTTATTCACTACCTCCTTTTATATAGACAAGGCAATTTTATTCAAAACTTAACATTTTTTTAAGCAGAACATGCTCTTAGATTTCCTATCTAAGAGGAGCAATCTGGACATCATTTAAAATTATTCTGGAAAGATGGACAGGTTACATTTTTTTCCCAAAAAAAACCCCCTAAAAGCAGATCATGTGCATAATGTAAAAGCTTGTTCATCTATTTGTTTGTGTAGCATTTGATCAACTTTTCGTATGTGGGTCTGTATATCATAGATTTCATGGTGCAGAATGGCATTCAATCTCTGGACCAAATCAGGAAATACACATTTACACATGCACACGGACAGACACAAATGCTTGGTTAGGCAGAGTTGTGTTTTCTTAATCCTCGTAAGAGGTTTTGATTTTCTTTATTAGCTGTCCAAATGGTTAGGGTTACATTACAGTCTTATGCTTACTAAACATGTCCAAGGCTGCATACTCTTCAGTAAGATTAGCCTTGGGTACGTACAGCCTTAAAACTTTTTGGGGGGAATGATTTCATAAAGAACATATATTTCTAAAGGCAGACCTGCATAATTACAAAACAGTTTCATTTTAAGGATCAAATTTTAAGGATTTCCTTACACTGACCCATCAAGGAGCCAGTGAAACATTTTTTTTTCCTTACTTGCCTTATACGCAAAACAAGGGGACTGACAAGCACTTAGTGGTTAGTACCCTGAGGTACATCTGGTTCAGAGGAAAATTACAAATAAGCAGGGAGGAGCATCAAGTAATTTGTAACCATAGGATTATTTTAAATGAGCAATGTAAATGCAACATAATATTTTGAGGACCAACTGTAATTCTGTTACACTCATGAGGGACTAAATGTGAACTCTCTCTGAACAGTCCCTCTGTGAATGCAAGGTTTAAACAATAATATTATACCTTTTCTGGCCTCGTTAGTCTTCATACTTCCAACATTTTTATTATCAGCTTTAATATGCGTATTGCTACTGCCATGTGATGTAAATCTGTTCTCTAATACAGTGGTTCCCAAACTTGGCAACTTTAAGACGTGTGGACTTCAACTCCCAGAACTGGCTGGAGAATTCTGGGAGTTGAAGACCACAAGTCTTAAAAGTTGCCAAGTTTGGGAACCACTGCTCTAATACATAGACATGCATGAATAAACCAGCAATTTCTTAAGTTTTGTGCTTGCAACTCAAGTAAATCCCAACCAGGCCCGCCACCCCAATATTTCCTTAAAAATCCAGTACATATCGGAAAGAGAAAAGACATGGTGGCAAATGTATATCGTGACCCGTCAAAACCGCGGTAGACAAAACCACGCTCGACGAAAGCGCGTACCTGACGTCATCAGCAGCGCGATGAAAAAAATTAAAACTAAATTAAATTGAAATTAAAATAAAATTAAAGCAAGCCGATTCACATAAAGGTAAGGGTTAGCGTTAGGTTAAGGGTTAGGTTTAGGGTTAGGTTTAGGTTAGGTTTAGGGTTAGGTTTGGGGGGGTTAGGGTAAGGTTTTCGCTTTAATTTTAAATTTACCGCTCACAGCGCGATGTTTTCATCGCGCTGTGATGACGTCACGTACGCGCTTTCGTCGAGCGCGCTTTTGTCTACCGCGGTTTTGTGGTGGAACCAATGTATATAAAGCAACTCAAATCAAAGGAGTGGACACACTTTTTTTAAAAAATATATTTTTGCTAAATTAACACAGTTGTATAAACAATTATGAGTCTAGCAAAAGTGTACCCATGGTTTTAGAAGGTGACCAGCCTACCTCAGTTGCTAAGTTCAGGGAAATCATTATTATGGAGAAGATCTACTCATTAGGGCAGTTTTAAAAAGCAAGATTTTTCATGGGGTCACTTTGCCTTTCCATTGAAATTGTACATCATCCTAGTGACTCTAAACCAGTGTTTCTCAACCGTGGAGACTTGAAGTCCTGTGGACTTTAACTCCCAGAATTCCCCAGCCAGCTGTGCTGGCTGGGGGATTCTGGGAGTTGAAGTCCAGAGGACTTCAAGTCTTCTAGGTTGATAAACACTGCTCTAAACATCTGCAAAGTGAGCTTCAGCTCATGAGAACTTATGCTGCTTAGCAAAACTTGTTAGTTGGACCAGATTTATTGGGGTTGCACCATCATCCAACAGATTACCTGAGCTAGCTCAGACGTATTATTTAAACTAAGAGAGAAATATAATATTGGAGCAGTCCTCATTTCACTAGTGTCCTGATAGCTGCAAAACTATCCATGGAAAGTTCCGACTGACAACAACTTTTCAGGAAGAAAATATTTATAAGCCAGGTTTTTTCTAATGTAACAAATCAAACATTCAACCTACTCAGCAGATATATTGATATACAGGAGCTCTAGCGTGCAGGCCAAGCTTCTTGCACATGCAAGAAATTGCCAATTTCTTTCCCCAGGAAAACTAAATAATGCAAAACGGATCCTTGGAAAGAGGTCCTAGCTTCACAGAAGTAAAAGAGAAAGAAGCGCAGGGTGAATAGCATTTTTTCTCTCCACTTTAGGGACAGAGGTGAATTTTACGTCTTGTGTACTTAAAAGACTCCATGACGACAACACAGATAGAAGGGCAATAAGCACATTCAAATCAATAAGCACAATGTGTTGGAAAACAGCCCAGGTCTTCATTATTAATATTGATGTTCTAAGACACTTTGGAAATTTCAAAGAAGAGGAGAAAATGCTTGACATGGTTTCTTTTGTTAGGGGAAAAAAGCAGATCCTGAAGGATAGCAAATAATTTTGGACAGTGGTGGGATCCTACCATTTTAACAACCGGTTCGGTGATCGCGCGCTTCGCAGATTGCGTGCAGAGTTTGGAGAAAATTTACCTTCCGTATTACTGCTAGAGAGGAAAACATCTGAGGCACAGCAATCCATTCTGCTGCGCAACTCAATTGAGAAGTTAAAGGTAAGTAAAGCCAGGAGTGGGCGGGGAGAGGGGTGCACTTGATTGTCGGAGCAAACTGGTTCGCTCCCAGCTGATCGTCGGAGCTACCGGTTTACTTGAACCGGTCCGAACCGGTAGAATCCCACCCCTGGTTTTGGAATACCTGAATAAAACTACCTATATATTTCAAAGTTATTCCATAGGCTGCATTCATGCATTATAATCAACCATGGAATAATCGTTTAGTACCGTTTTTTAAAATCAAGTTAGAATCAGTTTTGCAGATGGGCAAAGTAATTTTAGGTTTGGGCAAATTTATTTTTTCCCCTTCTTTTTGGTTACCCTTCTTTCTGAGGCCCAGTTAATGTGGTCCTTGGTAGGGCACAGAATCAAACCGAAAGCGAACCAGGAAAGAATCCAACCCATATATATCTGTTCATTTTCCACATTAGCTCAATCAAGGTTGCAGTCAGCAAGCCAACAACAAACCATGGTTTCAAACCTTAGTTTAATGCCCTAAAATAAACCATGATTTCATTCACGCAACATGCTCAGCCCCAAACAAGCAAACTGTATCGTGGTTTAAAATGATAAGGAAACTACCCATTTTAAAGAGAGTCCAGGGGTACATATTTCGAGCAAAGTACAATGCACGCCATCTAGTTAAAGCCAGTTGTATTGTTTTGAGTAACAGAAGGGCCTATGCAAATGCTCCGTTTGTCTCCCATTGAGTTTCTGAGATTCAGAAATGCCAGACTCTGAATGAACAACAAGAAGATTAGCCAATGAAAGTATATTGGAGCCACTATATGCTGTGATATGCAGAGCTTTAAATTGTCACAAAATATGTTCTAAATAATTAGCAATCTGCTGTGAGTAGCGAACATTGGCAAATACACAATAAACGTATCTGTATATGACAATAAAGCAAAACACATATTTAAATGAAAAGAACTGATATTGTTGTAGTAGTGGGATAAACATTTCATTAATACAAATATTATGCAAACTGTATTCATTGGCTATTCACATTATTGCTCTGCTACATGAAGAACAGGCCCTTAAAATATGTTACATTTCACCTACATTAAAATCCAGAAACAAATGTTTCAGAAGTAACTGCATACAACAGGCATTGAACTTAATACATGAAGATATGCACAGCCAAGAAATTAAAAACTGGCCTGACCAAAGCATAATATTACATACTCATATTTTTTAAATGTTTCCTTGTGCAAACAATAAAATAAAACAGAAAGCTAACCATGTAAACATAAAATTTAAAAGTTAGAATGCAGTATTTACTCCAGACATTCAGTAAACTATTAATTCAAATAACCATTTTTTTAAAAAATTCATCCACCTGAAATACAGATGTAAAAATCAAGACATTAACGACACATCTAGCATCTGGTACAAATGCTGTTAATGTTTTTACACACAAAGGCCCCAACCCAAGGGAAAGCTTCAAAATAAAAAGAAAGGTGAATATTAGTCGCACTTAAGTCCTAATGAAATAAATAGAACTTGAGAACATTAGAAACCAACACACTTAGGCCCAGTGGTTTTTAATGGGATTTAAATACAGCTTCCTAAGGGTTGGAGCCAAACACTGTAACATTCAATAACTCAAAAAAACTACTGAAATATTAACAAATATATTTCTGCCCATCTTGCATCCTTGTGTACTATTCAATCGGGTAAACAATAAGAAAGCTGTTACAAGGCATGAACCACAACGCTCGCTGGCTTCCACGCCGACAGACATATTCACTCAACTCATTCACTCTCCCCTCTCTCTCTCTCACAAGCACCCGCACAAACACATATGGAGTTGGTATAAACAAAATATCACTTTTAATTATTTATTTTTCACCATGATTAAGAGATTAGGAGTAGAACCCCGGGTTCTCTTTTAGTCACTTCTGAATCTCTTAGCCACAGGAAGATTACCTAACTGTTCTCCATGCAGCAGCCCTCTTAGGGAAATACTAGTCAATTTTACAGTCCTGAGCAGGATTGAACCATCAGACACCTGCAAATCTACGACTTACGTCTTCTCGTGGAGAAATAGCAATTCTATGTTCAAGTTTCTGGAGGAGGAACATCTTCTGAGCAGATGGGAGTTTTTTTTCAAGATACAAGGAAAGGAATGGATGCTAGGGCTATGAAGGAATACTGCTTGTTGGCTCAGAAGAGATTGGTTTTATATCCCAGCGAAAGGGGGGGGGGGAGATCTGATACAAACAGATATTGTCATCAGCCAAACATGGCGAGATGTAGATTTAGAGATGCAAGTGCATAGGTTAAAAATGATTGCCAATTTTCACGTCTTATCTTGGGGTTAGAATACTTGTAGCTATTTTCATTTGTATATAATAGCTATGCATATATACACATAGAAACACACACGTGTATGTGTGTGTGTGTGCGCGTATTCAAACACATACCCACACATATTAGCCATACCTCAAGACCAGGGTTCATTAACAGAAAGGGGGGTGGAGGTAATAATTTAAATCACACAGAATGCTATGTGCCAAATTTGACAAAATGAACTTTTGAACGTGTTGTTCAAAAAAAAAAAAAAAAAAAATCCGGAAAGGAAAAAAACGAAGACCACCACAAGATCCTGTAGAACCAACTCTGTATCATTACAAGGAGAGCACCAAGCAAGGCACCATTGGAAATGAAACATACTCAGGAAGTCTCTAGGTAAAGCAAATGCTAATCTGGTTGGAAAATCGGTGTCTTTGGTAAAAATTCTATAAGAATGACCTGTTAAAACAGAAAGAGAAAGAGAAAATTAATTATTGGGCAGCATTGCTATTGTCAAAAGTTTCTTAGCAGACGTTTTCAGCATGAGAAGGGAATAACCCATAGCCAGGATCCAAATTACTATAGGCTTGTTATGGCGAACCTATGGCCCCCCAGTTCACCCCCCCCCCCCCCGCATGTGTGCGCACCTCCCGCTGGCCAGCGGGTTTTCGGGTCTCTGCTGCCCATGTGTGGGGTGCATATGGGAGACACACATGCATGCACTGGGGCAGGGGGAGCGTGGAGGTCCTGCATGCATGTGGGGGATGCACGCAGGGGGCGGGGCATGTGGGGGGGCATTGCATTATGGGCGCATACGCTTTCGGTACGCAACAACAAAAAGGTTAGCCATCACTGCTACAGGCAAAGCCAAGAGAGCTTTTAATTTTGCTTTTATGCTGCTCCCTTATTGTACATAAACGGTTGTTTTTGAATTTCCTCCCAGTTTAAAAATATTTTTGCAACTGACGTACATGTGGTCGGGAACAAAGGAAGTTACTTTTCCAAAAGTGAATCTATTTGTTTAACTAAGTTGTTTGCCCTTGCATTTTCTTCCTAGGGCTGAGAGTGGTTAGCCCAAGGTCAGCCAGCTGGCTTCGTGACTCGTGGTGTCTAGCCTGATGCCTAAACCACTACTCCAAACTGGGTCTCTATCTGTTTTAACTATCTGGGCATGTTTTCAGCTGGACAGCATCTCTCCGAGACCAATGGAAGGTAACCTACAGATCGATTCTAGTGTGATCATGTTAACTGGAAAAAGGAAGAAGGAACCTGAAGCTCATGCATATAAAACACAACAGTGCCGAAAAGGTTCACCATCACTGAGATAGGGCCTACGTAGAAAATGCAGGCTGTGTCTACATGCCCATTTTAGCATGCCTAAAGTCTCTTGGTCAAAGAACTACTAGCCATTTCAGAACGGTTAATTCTGAAGGTTAACTAAGAGGAAGAAAAATGGCTCCAGTATAAGCCCATTTACCAAGTGATAGATGACGAAAGCAGCTTTCATCAATTATTTTCATATTTTCAAGGGAAAACTAAACTGCATCTTTGAACCAGGTAGCAGCCCTCTCATGCTACCTACCAGCAACTGCTTAAAGCAGCTGCATTTTTTCTCAGAACTGTGTGGCTGCCTCCACCACTGCAGCATGATCCTGTGAAAATTGGTACGTGGTTTATGAGGGCTGCCATCAGGTGTGGCGTGCACACTCATGCACAGCTGCTTTCTAAACTGACCTGGATTTTGTTGTGTGCATTATAATGTTATTAAAATAGGCTCAAAGGCTGGGATATTAACTTATTACCCTCTGAACATCTTACTGAAAAAGCGGTAATTGTAATCAGAGTATCTCTATAGGAGCAGGCAAAAAGTCTATTGTTTTTTTATTATGGTCTTATAAAGGCCAGAAGCTTGAAGTAATTATTAAAATAAAGTGCTGAATTCTTTACATAGCCAATCTTAAAAACCAGTGCCAAAAATTCTTTTCTTGCCTTCAATTATTGCAAAGTTATCATGTGTCTGCTATCATAAATTAACATGTTCGCTATAATAGATGATCATAAATTAACATGTTAAGTATAATAGATGTTAAAAAGAAACAGTTTGTTGAATAGAGCTACTCTGTAAAAAGGGCATTTTAGGCAGTCTTTTATGTTTTAGGCTAGATATAGGCCTTAGTATTTCCGCTTTTTCAGTGCTAACAGAAAAGATGATTTTAAGATAATTTGGAACTATTTAAGCACTGTTTTAAATCAATCTTCTAACATACTGTCTATAATGCGTGCATTGTGTTAAATAATAGACAAGATATATAATTAAAAGGCATGGATGTTAGAAATAGCTAAAGCAAGATACTTTTGCAGGTTAGTCTTAATTTGTTAACCCCTGCTTATATCTTAAATTTTCACAATGCTGGTATATTTTGCAATAGTATATTTGTTAGAGGGGGCTGGTTTTATTGCAGTCAATTCCCCTGTGCGCCCCAGGAAAATACAAAGAACAATAAAGCAGAGAGATTTCCGTTGCAAAGACTGCAAAAGGAAGAACTTTTGCATCTTCACAAGTCTTTATAACAACATGCAAAGTTCTGCTTCAGAAGCAGGGAGACGACCTAAACTTCCTTTCTTACAATCAAGGCTTTTAAAACATTTAGAGTTGACGGCTGCACTTTCAGGGCTGCTGAGATATGGGAGCAGTTAAAATCTACAAAGTCTTTATATAGAGGTTCCTAGGCTCCAACTGCTCAGTTGAAAGGTCTTTTCCATACGCCAAGACTTGATTAGCATTATATAAAACAGCCCACGTCTCTAATTCACTGCGTAACCAAAGTTGCAGTTATTCTTTTTATACAGCATTTGAAAATTTCACACCCCATCAGCACATGTGCAAGCCATTTTTATCTTGGCAATTAATTTATTTTATTTTTTCCCCCTCCAAGGACACAGTGAAGCCTTGTTTTCAAGTCATTCATAACTTTTATAAATCAGCCCTGCGCATGAAGCCATGAATCTGTGAACCGTAGAAAATCTATGCCACTCGGGCGATTAAGCCTGCTGACACCTTTGCTGATTAATAATCATGGAAAGAATAAGATCAGAAGCAAAATAAATGATCATTTAATAGAGAGACGCACAAAACAGCCCTTTAACTTACATATTCCATCATGTTATTCGATTCACATTTCCTTTTGCTTAGCCTCCAATGCAAGCACAGCTAGACAACGGAGAGAAAGGGGAAGAAGAAAAATGAGCGATGTTTTATTGCCGGCATTGAGACACCCCCGTTTGTTCACTTTTCATATTTGGCCTTCAACAAAAGCATCTGTTTCCATACTGAGCCACTCTAGCCCCAGCAGTACGAAGCTGCTCCCTGCAGTACTCACCTTGTGGTATAATCTATTGTTTTCCCATTCTAATAACTTCTCAATCGATCTTCGTGTCTAGAAGGCAAGTAAAAAGAATTTTTACTCTCAAGTTGCTTTGTGGGGAGCGGGGGGGGGGAGTTTGTTTTGCAACTGGCTGTATGTGAAAATGTGTAGGCGGAAAGGAGAACTCAGTAAAGGGTAGTTTGTTGTACTCTACATTTACTTGTTGGGGGTCGTAGTAATTAGAAGTTATACATGCTTATAGAGAGTAAAATGGAAGCAAAGCAACTTTTAAGAAATACCCAAATAGTTGGAAAACTTATGAAGCTATGCATTAACAAAGGGTTTTTTAGGAACAGAGTCATTAATTCACAATCCACTGAATCTAATCTAATGGGATGCGTTTTTCAAGCAACCTACACAAGAACAATAGAGATTTTCATATAAAACAGATACGAGTTGTAAATCTATGCTCTCTCACTTAACACATTGTGTAAAATTATGCAAAAGCATTTGATCCTTAAATCTCCTGCACCTCAATACTCAGTTCTAAACCACAGGAATTAAATCTTCCTGCAAAACCACGCAACTTTAAACACTCAAGTAAGCGTTCTGATTGAGTTGTATTAGAAATACATCCTACTGTTTATAGCCATTTGACGGCCGTGCCATCAACCACACAACAATAAGACGGGGGTTTATAGTCTTTATGCATAAGGGAGGATAAATCATGACACCAGGTGTTGAGATGAGACCAGTCTTGCAGGTGCAAAGGCATGGATCACTGAGCCTTGTGGCAAATTCAACTTTGTACAGCTGCAGTTTCCTTATAAGGCAAAGAGAAGGGGGGGGCACTGAGGGAGAGGGAGGGTGGGTGGAAAAGCATCCTGCACTTCAACTGAAGCTAAACAAGAGGTGTTATAAACTGCATCCCTGATCCAGCAAGATTTTTTTTAAAAATAAAAAATAAAATTTAAACTTACTCTCCAAATCTACTGAGTATCGTAAAAAAAGAAGAAGCAGAAAACAGTATGTGAATTGTTCTATAGGCAAACATATTTGTGAGTGAAGATGTGTACATGCAAGTATTTATGGGCTAAAATAAAGAGGGGGGGGTAGAGATTCTTTGCGTTTCCAACCAAGGCAAATGCACAAATCTCAGTTGTGCCTACATGAAAGAATCCAACTATTATGTATGAATTGTAAGGTTCTGTGCCATCTTTTTTTCCCTAAAAAGAAGGGATTCCAGTCAGCTTTTAAATAGTGACGACTAAATTACCGCATTGTAGTTTTTGAAGTTCTGTTACTTTTGGCTAATACTTTTTATTTTATTTTATGAAAGACGGGGCCTGCCCTTTAACAATGATCAGCAGACCTCTCTTGTTTCTTTGTAAAGATAGCCTTTTAGAGCCTGCTCTCCTTTTAAATGAAAATAGGGCAGCAGTTATGGTCACACTTTTGTTAATTTAGTTGCCAGTCAGCTCCAAATCAAAAGAAAATAAGGCTGCAGAGTGTAATTAACATTCAGTTCAGTCGTTTTGTCCCTTGTCTAGCCCCCTAAGCTTTGTTAAAATTGCCATCTGAATGCTGAAGGCTGTAGGGAAATCGATTTGATTCTAATCGCACCATGAAAAGAACATGATCTAACTGCTTTCAGCCCTCAGTAAATCTGTACTAGGTCTTTAGCACAATGCAACTTCCAATTTAAAAAGCACTGAATGTCTCGTCAATGACTTTGTGAAGGAAAAAAAGAACAAGGAGCAGACATAAAAATTCCAATAGTTGTTTAAGCATTAAAGCTCATTTGCATCACAGCAAACCTGAAAAGGGCTGACCTCTCAAACCGCCTCTCAGGTCTATGAAGTTGTAGCCTTGACAAGCTCACATTGACAGAGCTCATTGACTCTGAAAGGCTACTCTATCAATGGTGAAAAATGGCAATAGGGCATCTGCCTGTGCCCACCCGCTGTTAAACCAATGGCAAAACCCGATTCAAAAAATGTGAAGCTACCTTGTAATCTTTCTTGCCAGAGCCTTTTAAATAATAGATTACGGCTGCTGTACAATTTAAATTTCATTGCTTGCATGGAGGGGAAGGAGAAAGGGTGGCAAAGAAACCAGCTTCCCAAATACTAGCACAATTAAACACTTTACATTATAAATAGGAAAGTGAACACAGGAAGGTTCAATGCAACCCTCCGAAGGAGCCTTCTGCAGATTAAAAAAAAAATATTAACATTTAATGACTGTTACTCTTAAATTGAAGGAAATCTTAAGCACAAATTGAACGGCATCCTGATTTAAGGGGACATAAAAACCCATTTTTTTAAAAAAACTAAATTAAAAAACAATATTAAACATGTGGAAAACAAGCTTTTAAAAAATACTTTCACGTCAATTTATCCCGTCCTAAGGTTTAATGTAGATGCCCACTGATGTTTCCCTCTATAAAAAAATATTCCAGTTTTGTCAATCATTTCATCGTTACTTAAATGTTGCCAAGTATTTAAATCTGCTCAACCCCTGGCCACTAAACAAAATGGGAATGAACATTTAAATGAAACATTCGCAAGTACCTCGAAGGCCGAGGAAGAAAAGGTGACTTTAAAGAGCATCACTCAATTCTTAGATCAAGCTTCCTTTCCCCTCTATTTGCCAGGTGGAAAAGAGAGAGAGAGACTGGCATGTGCAGCTTAATTAATCATGATACTTGACAGCTCAGTGATTTACAGTGAGGAGCAGGTGAGGACATTCACAGCCCAAGAGGGGCTCTTGATCTAGAGAGCAAGACTGGAGATTTTCAATCACAGCCATACAGAGAACTTTCTAAGAACATTTGATAACACAAAACAAAACTAAAAGGGGAAAAGACATTAGGAAGATTTTGAACACTAACCATCAAATGTGGTTTTTTTCTTCTTCTTTAAAACCAGATTAATACTTCTTATCTGGGAACAAGGTATGATTATTTATGGAAACCACTTCAACCTAATAGCTCTTAAATAAATAAAAGGGTCACAGTGGGTCACAATACTGAAGCCATTTTATCCTATCCGGATTTACTGAGGAGTAATGGACATGACTTCCCTTTGTGTACGATGAACCATTAAAAAAAAAATTCTATTACTTAGAGAAACTTAATGAAGTAGTTCTAAAATTATACAATAAAAATTTTAACTACTGGTTTTAATGTAATTCTATCATGAAGATGATTCTTACATAAAAGATAATTTTTAAGCTGTCAATTCAAGGCATCTTTAATGGTCTACAACACATTATTCAAAAAAAGATCTCGGTCTGAAAGACCAAAGGAAAGTATGGCCATGGGAGGATAAATATTATCCATAAAACTGCACAACAGTTTTACTAACAATAGGAATAACTATACATATACTGCAATTTTATTTTAAGCATACGGATTATATCTCCATCAGAAAATCCTGAACATAGAAAGCCCTCATTTTGCTACTCTGAAAATAGTTGTAACTAAATTGGGGCAAGAGGATTTCTTGTAAATTTAAAAGTAGTAACGCGCTAGGAAGACTTTTTGACTATTTTTTTTAATTCATTGTATAAATAAAAGACAGCACCCTTTTGGAAATGTTTGACGCAACAGTACCTGCTGTGCCTTTTCAATTGGAGTCAAATTATTCCTCAGAATGGAGATCATGGTATTCTTTCTAAAGGCTGTTCTAAAGGAAGGGGGGGGGGAGATTTTCTCCTTTCTAATATTTTAGAAAATTATTTTTTTTAAAAAGCCCATGGACCGTCAGATATTACTTCAGCTTAATTACAAAATGGAACTTAGTCTGAAAATGTTGTATTTCTCACTGGTTGAACAAGTTATGAACAAGGCAAAATTAGCTCACTCATCAATAGCGTTACAGAAATAAACACAATACTTTCCCCGAAAATAAGACAGGGTCTTATTTTCTTCTGACCCTCAAAATAAGCACTTGGTCTTATTTTTGGGGAGGTCTTATTATTTTTGAGCTGCAGGAGGTGGCAAGCATAGTCACCTCATGGCTGCTGCTTTATTGCAATATTTTGCCTTGTTCATAACTTGTTCAACCAGTGAGAAATACAACATTTTCAGACTAAGTTCCATTTTGTAATTAAACTAAAGTAATATCTGATGGTCCATGGGCTTTTTAAAAAAAATAATTTTCTAAAATATTAGAAAGGAGAAAATCCCCCCCCCCTTCCTTTAGAACAGCCTTTAGAAAGGATACCATGATCTCCATTCTGAGGAATAATTTGACTCCAATTGAAAAGGCACAGCAGGA